TGTCGTTAAAGACCTTCAGCAGGGCAGTTTCAGTGCTGTGGATAGGTGTAAAGCCAGATTGGAAAAGCTCTAAGATGGCGTGATCCTCCAGGAAGCACTTCAAATGGGACTCGACTATTTTCTCGAGTACTTTAGTAACAAATGGGAGTTTGGAGACAGGCCGGAAGTTGGAAACGACTGAGGGGTCAAGGTTTGTTTTTTTCAGGAGAGGCTGGACAGCAGCATGTTTAAAAGATTTTGGCACCACGCCAGTGGATAAACTACTGTTTACTATATCAAGAATGGACGGACCTAGAGTAGGAAACACCTCCTTTAGTAGTCGAGGGGGGACCACATCAAAGGGGGAACCAGAAGGTTTCAAGCTGCACATGACCTGCTCTAGAGAAGATAGAGTGATGGGTTCAAAATGGTCAAAAGGAGCTACAGATTGAGGTGGGATGGATGGGTCATGAGTTTGAAGGGAAATGAGAGCCCTGGTGGTCGCAATTTTTTTTTCCAAAAAGAAATGTAAGAAGTTGTCGCACAGCTCAGTCGAGGCTTCCATAGGTCAAGGTTCAGTGAGGTGGAGAACAGAGTTTAGGGTGGAGAAGAGGACACGTGGGTTGCGAGAGTTTGAGGTAATTATATCAGAGAAGTATTTTGATTTTGCAGCTTTCACTGCTTTCTGATAACGGCGCCAACTCTCTTTAAGTATTTGAAAAGAGACCTGCAGCCTGTCTTTCCTCCACTTTCGCTCCGCCCTCCTACATTGCTGCCTAACGGCCTTGGTGACGTCACTCAGCCAAGGTTCTGCTCTGAGTTTTGATTTTCTAGTTTTAACAGGCACAACATGATCCAGAGTCTTTAAGCAGACAGAGTTTAACTGGGATGTCAGCTCCTCAGTGGTGGTGAGAAACACCGGGGGCTGAATGATCATTTCAGAGTTATAAGCATCTGTGAAACATGAGGCAGTGAAGTGGTTAATTGCCCGGCTGCGACGTGCAGGAATGCATGACTTAGGAGTTAGATGGGGGAGGGTGAACTCAAACTGGACTGGCATGTTCTCTGAAAAACATTATCACCAATTTCAAGATTATTAACAGTCACATCATGAGTTAAAACAAGGTCCAGTGTATGTCCGTGCTCTTGGGTGGGACCGTTTACATGCTGAGTTAAATTAAATGAGTCCAATAGATCTAAAAAGTCCTTAACCAAGGGCTTCTCAGGACAGCACAAGTGCAAATTGAAGTCCCCAATAATGAAAAGATGCTTATATTTTGGTGTGATTTCAGCCAAGAAGTCTGAAAACTCATTTATGAAATCCTTAGATAGAGGTGGGCGATATACAAGTGCAAATAACGTCGGAGGCGAGTGGCCGAGTTCAAAGACGCTCAGCTCAAAGCTGGCGTGGGAAACTGGGATGGGCAGTTGTTTACAGCCAAAAGTTGATTTGAATATTGTTAATAATCCATCACCGCGCCGGCCTGATGGCCGCGGGGCGTTAAAACACAGACTGTTCGGTGCCAGTAATTCCGTCAAGGCGCTGGACTCACCCGGAGACATCCAAGTCTCTGTGATACACAGAAAGTCAGAGTAAGGAGCAGATGTCTCATGTCGAATAGAATTTTTACTCAATAAACACTGAAAGTCGTTTCATGTAAACTCTGTGCCATTATCTGACCTAATACACTTTACTTTTCCATAGGGGGCTACATCCGCAATAAACCTTTCTGTTGCTTTGGCTGTGTCACTTTTAGCTTTCAAAAAATAGACAAATATTGCACTTCAAAAGTCATCAGTAAATGCTAGTGTATACTTAAATCCATCTGTTGTAGCAGGCTCAATAGGGCCAGCTAAATCTGCATGCACTAGTTCAAGAGCTGTTTTTGCTTTTGCATCAGCTTGCCTATTTCTACTTTCAGTAAATTTATCCTTAATGCATGTTTCACAGTCAAGGTTAGTTATTTCAGCCTTCCCTTTAATTTTCATACCCTTCACCACGTTTTCCAGTTTTAACACATCTTCAATTCAATTCAGTTTATTTATATAGCGCCAAATCACAACAAAGTTGTCTCAGGGCACTTTACAGAAACATTCACATAAAAGCAAGTTAGTAAAGTTCTGTATCTGAGGAATTCAGCAGACAAATTGAATCTTGGCTTCGATGCAGTCTCCCATCCTGAGCAAGCACAGTGGCAACAGTGGAAAGAAAAACTCCCTTTAACAGGAAGAAACCTCCAGCAGAACCAGGCTCAGGACAAGAGACCATCTGCTTTGACCGGCTGGTTGAGAGGACAGGAAGGAGAGACAGACCAACACAGAATGGTAGGTCCAGGTATAGGTCCAGGTCCAGAAATAGGTCCAGGTCGAGATATAGGTCCAGGTGTATCTGAAAGACAAAAAACCACATGTTAAGGATAGAAAAAATAATTACAAATACAAAACAGGTTGAGCAGAGTAATTAAAGACAGTAGTAGAGTGAAAAGTGTGGTCAGTTTGTCCTCCAGCAGTCTAAGCCTATAGCAGCAGAACTAAGGGACAGCTCAGGAAACCCAAGCCGACCCTAACTATAGGATTTATCAAAAAGGAAAGTCTTAAGCCTAGTTTTAAACTGGATAATGTGTCAGCCTCACAGACAGGGATTGGAAGTTGGCTCCACAAGAGAGGAGCCTGAGAACTAAAAGATCTTCCTCTCATTCTGTTTTTGTAAATTCTAGGAACCACAAGTAAACCTGCAGTCTGAGAGCGAAGCGCTCTGTTAGGAAAATATGAAACAATAAGATCTGTAATATAGGATGGAGCTAGGTTGTTGAGAGCTTTGTAGGTTAGAAGTAAGATTTTGAAATCTATTCTGGATTTGACAGGGAGCCAATGGAGAGAAACTAAAACTGGAGAGATATGATCTCTCCCAGTAACTCCAGTTAAGACTCTGGCAGCAGCATTTTGGATCAACTGAAGACGTTTTAAAGACGTATTTGGACACCCAGATAATAAACCATTGCAATAGTCCAGTCTAGACGTGACAAATGCATGGACCAGTTTTTCTGCATCATCTTTAGATCAGATGTTTCTAATGTTAGTGATATTACGCAGGTGGAAGAAGGAGGTTCTAGTAACGTTTTTAATGTGGGGGATAAAAGACATGTCCTGATCAAAAATAACACCAAGATTTTTAACATTAGAGCTGGAGGACAGATTAATGCATCTAAGGAGGGAGAAAGACTGAAACATTCATTCCTAAGGTGCTCAGGTCCAAAAACCAAAACCTCAGTCTTGTCTGTGTTCAACAGGAGAAAATTAAGGGTCATCCAGGTTTTTATGTCTTTAAGACATGCTTGTAGTCTAAGTAGCTGATATGATTCATTGGGTTTAATGGACAAATATAATTGTGTGTCATCAGCATAACAATGAAAATTTATCCCATGCTGTTTAATAACTTTACCTAATGGAAGCATATATAAAGTAAAGAGCATTGGCTCAAGCACTGAGCTCTGAGGAACTCCATGACTAACTTTGGTGTCTGAAGAAGATTTATTATTTACATTTACAAACTGGAATCTATCAGATAGATATGATTTAAACCACTTTAGAGCCGTTCCTGTAATCCCAATATCATACTCAAGCCTCTGTAGTAAAATATTGTGATCAACTCTAAAAAAGTTAAATCTGGTCCTCTGGACATT